GCCCTGGTCAGATGCCCCCACCGCCCCCCGCCTCGGCGGGTCCCGCTGCCGACGGGGGAGAAGTGGGGCTCCGGGAAAGATCGGCAGGGGTCTGGGTAACCCCCCCCAAACCCCAAGGAGTCTGGCGTCTGCCTGCAAATGCCGCTACCAGAGTCACGGCAACTGAAAGGTCCGATGAAGGAAAGGAGTAAAAATCGGTTGTTCCCGAGGAAGAATCTCCCCAGAAATTTTGAATCATTAAAGATGCCGGGAGTGGCGATGCTTTTGCATTTAATAGCAACTAAAACAACGTCGAGGGCAAAGGCACGTGAAAAGAACAAATTATCGTGAAATTAAACTGGATTTACTCCCTAGCTTTCTGCTGAGTACGACACACACAGGCATAAAAGAGTGGATGTTTCTTAACTGCTAATTTTGACGGCGGTATATAGGAGGGAGATTAGTTTCTAACAGAAGATGTAAGTTCTCATTTCCACCTCAACCCTTTGAAATATTCTACTTCATGGTATGGGTCACAACTACTGTGAAAAGAGACCCGGTTTAAGTTGTTTTAAGCATTTGCAATGAAGCCAAAAACTACAGAAAATATGAGAGAAAAAATACTACTTGGTTTTCAAGTGCTGATTATTTACAAAACTATGGGGAAAAAAATCTAAACACCCCCCGAGCATTTTGAACTCTGAAGACCTGGAAATCTTTCATTGAATTTTAGCAGAAAATCCTTATAAATAAAAATTAACATTTGTTTTGTTTTCCCCAAAATATAATTTTTCTATTTTGAATGCTAGGAATAGTTCTGAATGCCTGTTTTCCAAAATCATATTTCAGTGCCTAATAAGCATAAGTTTCAATTTTCTGTACTGGGCACAAGGTTTAAAATTAATATTTAAACATTCTTTTTCTCCCTTTTCTGGTTTGGTAAATGCAGCCCGGAATGCTGTGACTGGGGGGTTCAGGCCCAGCACCACTCCCCATCAGAGCAAATTTTGTGTCGGTGGTCAAGAAGCAAAGGGGGAGAAGAACTGTGGGTATTAGGCCTTAAAAAAAAGAAATGTATCTTATACTCTCACATTTTATTTCTCCTGAGTAGCAAGCAAATAGCCACCGTACAGGGAAGGACTCACTCCGTGGCTGGCTTCCAAAATAAGGCAGTCAGCTAAGGAACGCCCCTCCGCCGCGCCGCCCAGGCAGCAGGGGAGGCTGAGGGACCTCACTTGGGGCGATGGGATCCCAGTTCTCCTGTGTGTCCCTGCTCCTGAGAGGTAAGGAGCTTTTTCGTCACTCAGAGATACGTGCCTATTTCAAAGGCGACATACAAAATAGCTCGTTTCTCAGAAGGCGAGTCTGATTTGAACATGTACTCCAAAGATACAGCACACTTCCCTACTGTTCATACGAGCTCTTCACCCATGACTTCGTGCAATAGCAGAGGTAGGATCTGACATTTGCAAGGCTGAGCATTTGCTTTGTATGAAGAAAAACCCGAATTGAAATAGCAACACGTCCAACTGGGTGCTGAGGTGTGACAGATGGTTTAGATTGTGACCCCAGGACAATCTCCCCTTGAGGGCTGAATTTAGGGGTTTTACCTCACACTCCAGTATATGTCAGGGATATCAGGTCTGATGTGGCTTGAATTGAACTCAGTTTCTTTTATAAACATCTATTTGATTGTAAAACTGTCCAATGTAAGACGCAAGCAAACTTTGGTGCCTTAATACAGAGCCATACAAACATTACTGCAAAAGTGCTGACGTTGTTTTGACTTCTCGGTGCACTTTGTGAAATCAGCCCTGGTATAGGAAATTATCCTGGAAACCAAGGGTGAGAAACTATATTCACTAACGATCTCACTGCGTATTTACAATTATATGAAAATAGTTTTTCTTGGTCCTAACTAAAGAATTTTAGGTGGGTTGAGTCACACAAGGAACTACAAAGGCTTGGAAAAAAACAGCTGAGATATCTCAGAGAGAAAATTATGACAGCAATGAAGGAAAGCACAGTTTTAGGAAGGGCATGGGTTAAGGACTGGCTGTGTACCATTAAAACAC